ACAAATTAAAAGGCAGATATTTTTCTATGGCTTTTTTTTTGCAACATATGTATGACAGATTAATTTCCTTAATATATAGAGTGCTTATAAATCAGTAAATAAGATGAGCACCCTGATATAAAAATGGGCAAAGAAGAAATACAAATAGCTAGTAAACATTAACAAAATTTTAACCATCATGGTATCAGAAATGCAAAATTAAGAAAAGTTAAATTTCCCATCTCAACTGGAGGAGATTTTAAATAGATAATACTGTTTTTGAAGAGAGCGAGGGGGAAAACAGGCACTTCATATACTATTGGTGCCTTTCTGGCAGGATTTATCAGAATCTGTTAAGTTATGCATACTCTCTGAGTTGGCACTTCCCTTCTGGGATTTATCCTAACAGAGTAATTATGAATATATGCATCCTAGTGTCATCTAGTATGGGGGTGGGGATTGAAAACCATCTGAATGTTTGACAAAGGGGGATTGGTAAAATAAATTATGGTACATCTGCACAAGGGAATACCATGTAGCTTTTTAAAATGCTATTTAATGTTATTTGGAATAGGAATTTCAGATAGGCTTAATCTCCAATACCTCTCTGTGGTTGATTGGTAGTCTTTTCTTGGAATACTATGTTGAGAAGGATTCTGAGGCCATATCTAGGGCTCAGCAGGTAAGATGCTGTTCTCAGTGAGTAATTTTGCCGTGAGAGTGGAAGGACTGACAGCTGTGGCAGATACTGGCTTTTCCTGTTGTAGAAGAATGTTTAATGATAAGAGGAATTTTTCAGCCTCTGTTAACAACAACAGCAAAAATCTAAACCTCTACAGTGTAGGCTGCTTTTGGTGTGGGGTGGGGATGGAGAGACTCTGAGTGGAAGAAATGGACTTAAACATACCAGAGTATTATCAATGGTTCTTTTGGTTAATAAAATTATGGATGATTTCTGTTTACTTTTTCAGGGCTTGTCTTTCTTTTCTCAGTTTTTTACAAAAAGTAGTTTTTGTAATTTTATACTCAGAAAAAGTATATAAATGTTATGGTTAAAATAGTAATGAGGAAAAACAGTGGTAAGGAATATTGTCTAAAATATGTCTATATTCCCCATAATATTAAAGAATTATAGTCTTCAGATTTTGTTTCTTACAGAATCTCCAGAGTTTTGGAGAGGTGGGATTTGCCCATCTCCTCAGTGTCTGGAAGTTGATGAGTCCTTTATGACTTCAAGAGTCCCTGCTTATGTTCCTTTTCTTTGTAGCCTCAATTCAGATAAGCAGGCATCTGTGGATATTTAGAGACAAAAAATAAAATTCCTGTCTTTAAGAAGCTTACATACTAGAAGAATCTAGACATTATAATGTCTATATGTAGACATAATAGCATATCTATAGACATATTATAATAATGACAATAGTTGTAGTAGAAGTAATAGAAATGAGAGCTTTTTATATACTAGACATTTTTAAGTGCTTTATATGTATTTATTCATTTACTTCTTACAGTAGTCCTGTAGTCTCATTTATTGTACAGATGAAGAAACTGAGGCTTAGAGAGGCCAGGTGGCTAAGTGAGGTTCAAAGCCAGACAGTCTGGCTCTAGGGTGTTTAAACACTGATTCCTCTCAGTCAGGTATTGTTGAATTGCTTTACATGGATTAGCTCATTTCCTTCTCAGAACAAACCTTCCTGTCTTGTACGTCAAAGGCTTAGTGGGCATTTCTTCTGTGTCAAACACTGGGGGAGGGTATGCAGAGGGCAGAGGTGAATGCAAAGCAGTTGTTTTTAGTGCCTGGGCATAGTTTTGTGGAAAGGTTCAGGTGTGGAAATGTAAGTGAAGTATCATCATACTTAAGAAATGGTGGTAATGACAGGATGCCAGACTATATCTGCTTTACTTTGAGATCTTCCTTTTAATCGGCTCTGTGGAAAGGATGTGGGGGAAGGGAAAGTATTTCCAGATGGCAGCAGAACCTCAGTGTTTTCCTTTGGCTAAAGGGATCAATTGGCCCTTGGTCTGAAGTGGCAAGTAAGAGAAACTCTTTTTGAATTACAGGATATCTATGTTCAGGGCAGTGAATTGCCATACCAAGGGGTAATGGTAGCCAATCCACAGAACTGGTGGGCAGATCATTTAATGCTGTAAAATGCTTTGGGAGCCTCTAAAAGACAACGTGTGACTACAAGAGTAAGGGGAACCCTGTAATGAGATCTGAATCCAAGATTGATTTCTGTAATGAGGAAATCGATTTCCCAAGGAAATTGTGTGACAGTATGATGTTTGGATGAGCATACTTCTTGGTTGGTCTGTTGTAGACACTTTGACAGATTGTCTCTGTCTGGATTATGTTGCTGTTTGCTCCTCAGAGCTGATAGCACGCCTTCCCTTTCAATGATGCTGTCTTGTTTTCTCCTCCTAGGTTTATGGAATCTGAGCTGGACCTAAATGACATCATTCAGGAGATGCATGTGGTGGCCACCATGCCAGACCTGTACCACCTTCTGGTAGAGCTGAATGCTGTTCAGTCTCTTCTCGGGTTGCTTGGACATGATAATACAGATATCCTTTCAGATCTGTCCTCAATAGGAAGACAGACATGGTTGGGGAATGCTGTTTACTCTCTTCTGTCTGTCTCTGCTGATGTCTGTTGTCATGTCTGGTGTTCTAGTTCCATTCTCATTATCTCCCATCTTTAAACACATGCTGCTTTTTACTCATTTGAAAGTCTGGTTTTTAGCTATTAATAAATCTTAGGCAATCCTTAATTGCCCTATTTGTTCTTATTAATACCAGAATTCATCATGATGTATCTGTTCATATATCAACAACATTAATTTTTCAGGATCTTGATTTTGGGGGCCCATTTATATAGGCAGATCCAGACAGGATTTGAATCTGTTGTTCTAGACATCATTCTGCTAACAGATGGCCCAATGGAGTTGAGACTAGGGGAGGCAGTGAACCCTGCTAGAAAGCACATGGGAATGTCCTGGAAGACAGGGATTTTTTATCTGTTTTGTCCATTGTTATCTTTCCAATTTCTTTTAAAAAAAGCCTGGGCACACCATAACATTTGATATTTGTTGAATGAACATTAGACCTAAACAGACAATCTAGGTTTGACTCCCAGTATCATTTATTATGTGAAATTTGGTGCCCCTCCAGCCCTTTGTACATCCCTGCGATGTAACAAGACCTGGGTACCTTCAGGTCTAACAGCGTTAAGGACATGGAACATTAAATTATTGAAGATTCTAAAAATTATGAATTCTTTTTTTCACTTTTCACCCTACTTTTCAAGACTTAAATGTGGTAGGCTATTCTGTAGGAATAATACTGTCTATATTCATAAATTGCATTTACAAAACAAAAACAAAAACAGAAAAACTTTTGCCTTTCAGTGTTCCTGAGAGGATTAAAAGAGTTCATGTAAGTGCCAATGCTAAGCAGTTTCTAATAATAGTAGGTACTTAGTAAATGTTACTTATAAATGAATCCAAATTGTGACTTCCAAAACTATTTTATACTTTGCATTGCTATCGGATGTGCAACAGCTTTAATGGAAAAGGTTTTTGATGTGCCTATGGTTGGGGTTATGGTCATTAAAGCAGGTTCCCTTCTGATAGGTGTTCTGTTTGAATCCAGATTTCTGAAGGTAAGAGACAAATGTAGTTAGTCTGCTTGAGTGATATTCATGGGGAATCTGCTGCTGCTTCATGTTATTTTCATCTTTCTGGTAATCTCTCTCCTGAGAGCATGTCTGACTAGGTTCTTTCCTGCCTGATAATTCTCATAGAAATAAATCAGTGAGTAATTTTAGTGCAGGCTTCTTGAAAGGTGATCTTAAGCTATTTCTGATACTTCATGTAATGCTAGTATTAAGAATCTGTCAGTCCCCAGATTGATGCATGTGTTCCCCGGGGTTTGCTGTGAGATTCTGGGTTGTACAAGAACCCTAGTCAGTTAGCTTGTTTCTGGGTGAGGTCGATAAGGGTCTCATGAATTCGTCTGATAGACATGCTTTGAGTACTTACTACATACCAGGCCTTGTGCTAGACCCTGAGAAACCATAGGATTCACTGATGCTCAAGCAGCATCTGTCAGTCAGCATATTGGGTATCTATCATATGACTAGCCCTGTTCAAGGTACTCACTGGTCCTCACAGAATTAGGAACCAGGAGTTCCAGTTGTGACTTCACATTTCAATTTGCCTACAGACCGGTAGAGTTTCAGAATCCAAACAGACCTTAGAGATGACTTAGCCTAGTGCCTTATTTACTTGGTGACAAATCTAAGGTCTGGATGTTGGGCAGCCAGCTGTTGAGGTTGAGGCTGGCCCTCGAGGCCCCTGATTTCCAGCCCAGTGTCCTTTCTAGTGCACCTTGGGTCTCTTCCCTATAGGATTTACTACATCCGTGACAGAATTGCAGAGTCACATATTACTTCGTGTGTTAAATTCAGAAACCACCTCTTTTGCTTCTGGAAACACAGCTCTCATTCTTTTTTCTGTTCCTGCTAACTCAAAATAATAGTGGCAGCTTTGTGAAGATACTGACATTTTGCTGATTCACCAGCTTGGATCCTGCTGGGGATAAGACTGACACAAGAAGTGTGCTCGACGTCGGCATGCTTGGGAAAGGCAAGGGCACAGATGTTCCAAGTTGTTAAGTTCTGGTCTTTCAAAAGGAGAAAAACAAGTCCCTCTGTAATAACTTTGACAGACTGCCATTTCCCTCCTGTTTTCTAAGCGCTAAACTGTTTTTCTTCCCTCTTGTCTGCTAACCTTCACCCTGCTGCCCTAATGATATTTTTTAAAATCTGATTTTTAATTATGCCCTACATCAAATTTAAAGTGCATTTGAAATTTTTTTAATTACCTAATTTTAATTAGATGCAGCAGTTAGGGTAAATGTCATCCTCAATGTACCATTTTTCTTGAACGTGGTTTCAGGAAAGGGTAGGCCCTCTTGGCTTGAGTCTAACATATCCTCTGTCGGTTGGAGCATTCTCCCAGCAGCCTTGCACTCTGCTGCTTGTCTTATCTGTGATCTATAATGGAAATTTTTCTTCAGGAAACGGTTGTTAACAATTTACTGTTGTATAGCTGTAACTGCCCGAAACACCTTACCATGAATAAACAATTTTGTGGCAGTCATGACTTAAATTTTTAATCTTTTTTAACTCTTCATTTATCAGCCAAGAGCACACATGGCTTATGTTCCCAGCAAGCACAGGTCATCTTTGCTTTGTCCTTCTCTGAGAAAACATGAACTATAGGGATTTTAATTGGATCAGAGAGGCAGATTTGTTGTAACCTTAAGAGGCAGAGGATGTGAGAAAACAGCTTGTGCCTTGTCCTTTCAACCGTGAGAAGCAGCTTCAGAGTTTATTCTGGCGCTCTGCATCACTGCTGCTGGTGAGGGCTTGTCAGCGCTTCTGTGCCTCATCTGCCCCCTTGAGAGGCTGGAACTCAGCCATCGGATGGCTGCAGAGCAGAATTCTGCTTTGTGAAGAGCACTTCTGGGGTAAGGGGCAGAGAGGGAGGGGCACAACCCTCACACAGCATTGAAGAGTCACTCTGAATGCATTAGGAGGGAACGCAAGGTGGGATCCAACATCTGCTGCCTTTTAGATATATTGCTTTTTAAAGCAATTTTTCCTTTAAAGTAAATCACTTAAACATGTTTAGAGCCCCTTTTTGTGAACCTTTTTGGAGTGTTTCTACAGAAAAAATACAATCAAAGGTACATTTGAAGATATTTTCTGAAGATATTGCCAAACAATCAGCTCTGTGGCCCAATTTAAGCCAAAATTACTCAATTTGCCTAAAGGTTCAAGGAGGAATAAAAAGGGGAAAATAGAACCCCAGATGGTGGTTGATTACCCCTTCTGCTATCACCAAAAAAAAAAAAAATCACCACAACACCAAATCCATAAATATCTTATTTTGTATGTCATTTGTTGTGTTCTCAATTTGAGTGACAAGTCAGTGGAATCCTTGTGACAGATCACGGCATTTACTGTGTTCTTTGGATAATAAGCCCTGTTGGGTGCTATTAGGGAAACAAGAAATAATGACTCCAGTCAGTAGCAAAAGCACTCACATTACTATGTGTGGTAAGTGCCCTTGGAGTGTTATGCTCAGGAAATACCATTGGAGTTCTAAGAAAACGTAGGTCATCCCTGGCTTGGCAGTGATTAGGGAATTGGGCGTTAGAGATGGATAAGCTTTTGATAGATGTGGAGATTAGTATGCATTTCAAGTTTATTTTCATGGTCTCTGCCTTGCCAGTGGACATTGCCATTCCTCACATGTTGGAAGCTGATATGCTCATATAGTTCCTACAAACTTACAAGGATATCAGGTCCATGACTTTACTATTATTTTTTTAATCATGACTGCTGCTTCCCAGCTAAGTGCCCTATTCTTTAATAAAAATATTGAGTAATCTGAACCAACTTTTTCAGTCTGATTTCTCTCCACCTATTTGTGATTCAGAAAAATGAGGTCTCATTGCACTGTTAACAAGGCATCAGCGCAGCGGCCTGCACACTAATATGCAGGGAGGGAGAGGCTTGTTAGTCACAGAGTAGATCTTTAGTGCTGGTGGGACAGCTCTCTTTGGTCTGGAATAATTTTAGGGAGTGCCATTAGCAGTATTCTTTTCTAAATTACTGCTTAGTTTTCTTAGGCTGTAGAAATCCAGGAGAACTTGCAAAGTTGTCCTCTTGGATTTTGTGAAGAATTATTGTGGGAATTGGAAAATAAAGAGCAGACAGTTTTTTTAGGCCAACAGGGATCAATTGAACTTGAGCAGTTTGGGTCTGAGAATGCTACAGTGGAGCAAACTGCAGCACACCATATTACCCCAGAGGGTATGTACAATAGTCAGGGGTGCCTTGCGTTCGACCCCAGTGTTAATGAGCAGGAGTAGGGCTGGGAAGGGTTTGAGCCTCCTAAGGGCTTTCTTCTAATTGGACTGGGAGGGAGGTGGCTGTTGCTCCAGTGCTTTCCTGCAAACACTGTCTAACAAGACTTGTGTATCTCAGGCTGTTGTTTTCTAGAAGCTATTCTCATCTTGGTATTTCTAGAATCAAAACTACATGGAAAAGAATTGACTTCTTTTTCTCATTTGTAGTCTAACTTCCTCAATAATCTGTACTGATAAACCATCCATGTTTTAGCCATTTAAGTATGCTCTGAAGTAAGTCAGATTAGGTAAAAAGTGCCAAAATGGCAATCTAGGAAAAGGACTTCTTAATGTAACTTTTGATATTGCTTATGAGTTTTAGGTACATTCCATGTCCTTGGAAGGTTAGGATGGTTGTACTCTTGCTTTGGACGTTTCTCCTGTGGCATAATAGTGCCCACTAGCATTTAGTAGGTCTTAATACATCTTGGATGAGTGCATTTTCTTCCTCATTTTTTTTTTTGATTTAGGATTGGGATAAAGGTAAGTGTCTACTTTCATTCTAGGTAGTTCTCTGCCAACTATTTTAAAAGGAGAAAAAGACCATTTTGTCTGTGTTTTGAAATTCATCTGTATTAATTGAGCTATATCTAATCATTGTCCTAGTCTAGGAATAAAAGAAAAAAGTTTTTTAAAAACCCCACATTTATTCCATTAAATTAGTTATATACTGTGAATCTAGACTGGTTCATTTTTCTTAAGGAAGCCTATTTGAAATGACTGTTTTAAAACCATCTGCTTAATATATTTTGTTCCTCTTTATCTTTTTTTTTGAATAATTTTGTTCCTTATGGACATACCTCACTGGAGATTAATGAAATTAATGCTCAGTTTTTATCCCAAGTCTCTACGTGAGATCAGGCCAAAAAGCAAATATCTAGAGTCAAAATGTGGAAGTAAACACTCTTCCTTTTATAAGAGTCATTGTGTTATGGACCATTTTGTGCCCAGCTGGTCTTTTCTACTTCACTTCTTATTATACTAGCTTATTGCCACAGTAGTGGACAGGTACGGAGGGAGTGAGTGGGATGGCCTTTCTACCTGACGTGACAAAATAGGCTATCAAAAACTGTGTTTCAGTAATTCGCAGAGGGACAGACTCTCTGTTTTCCTATTACACTAGGATGGGAGAGCCTTTTACCTTGTGAAATGAAATTGTAACTACAGTGGAAAAACCTATCACCCATGCCCAGCGTCTGCTTGTGAAGAAATGCTGGCTGGTTGGCAGACCATGCTAAATTTTCTCATCCAGATTGAGAGTTCATCTGTCTATCTTTACTTTCAGTTCTTATTCCTTTTTCTGGTCTTCAAATGACTTCTATCTTCTGGGTCATATTTATATTACCCAGGAGCTGGTGATTACGATTATGGACTCATTAGTGCCTTGCTAAAATGCTATTTGGTGAAAGTTGGGAATTTATGTAAAATCAGTTAGTGGTAGGATTGATGAGTTGCTTACCAGACCTAGTAGCTGGTAACTGATTTCTTGTTTGACTTCTCAACTGAGGCAGGAGTGTAGGCAAGGAGATATCCACTGGACCATTATAAGAAATGCCTTTTCTTGGTAAAAGTAAGACATTTATCCTGTTCCTGTATAAAACCACTACCATTGTCAAATTTTCTTTTCCTTTTTTTTTTAAGTTCCTAGATTTAATGTGAACGATTTGTGAGCATGGTATAAGAATAATCAAAGAAAAATATGATACCGGTCCCACAAGACCTTAGAGGCTGAAAAAGGACTTGATCAATCTGAATGTCTGTGGCATAGCTGAAATATAAAATTTGATCTTCCAGCCCATTGTGACCCAGGAAGGGAGGATCATTCTGTTGTTAGCTTAAATTTTAGGTTTTGGACGCTCTAGAAAAAGCAAAGGCAACAGTAAGGGTCTTGGCCATTCTTTGGTAAGAATTGCCTAACAACAATCTATATTATAGAGCTTTCTTTATTTTGTCAGTACTTTGACTTACTTGCCCTTCGACATACAGAACCTCATTTATTCCTTATAGTTACTCAGTGAGACAGGCTGGCCAGAGATCCTTACCACCTTTTTACAGATGAGGAAACTAAGCTATAAGAAGATAAAGGGGCTTGAGCAAGATTCCATAGCTAATAATAATTTGGGGATAGTTCCGTTCACTAAAGATAGGAAGCAAAAATAAATATGATACGACCCCTGTCCTCAAGTTTGCTCTAATTCTTCATCTGTTGTTCTTTCATTATACCTCACCTGTCTCTTGATGCTATTATTTAATTAATAATCATTGCATTATAGTTGATAAGTACTTAGTGGTGCATGGTGCTATTCCAGGGATGTAATGGTAGTACTTACTACATGCCCAATTCACATCTTTGTCCTGTAGACATCTGACTCTTCAGTGGACGGATGGATGGTTGGATGGGTGGATAGATGAAATGTTGTCAGGCATATTAAATAAACATGCACATTAATAATAAGATTTTTACATCTCATATTTAAGAACTTTTCAAGAGAATAAATATGGGAGCTTCTTAGATGAGGAGAATGAGGAAGAGTTGTTAGCATTTTGTTCTTTTTCCTGGGATTTTAATAATTTCTGGTGAAAATAAATGATAGTCCTTTTATCTGTGATTACAGTAAGGTCAATAGCTAGAATTTACCTGACTAGCCCTGTTTAAACCTGATATATATTCCCCAGTGCATTCATATGAAGAGTAGTGGCAAAAGTGTTGTTTTCAGAATTAGATGGACCTAACATTATCCCTTACTATTGCAGTGATCTTTGGGTAAGTTACTTAAGCTTTAGCTTTCTTACCTGTAAAATGGGGATCACACTTACAATTCCTTTGTAAGAATTTGGTAGCACCACGTTTGGCATAATGATGACTTTTAAAAAATGGTGATTTTAATGACGATGACTACTGAAGTGTACAGAGAGGGAGAACTACTAATTCCTACTAGTCAAGGTTTCTAGGGGTTAGTTTGGTAGTAGCCTGTTTTTTATTTTTATTGTTTTAATTAATTCAAACAACGTGTTTTGGTTTACCGTATGTGAAGTATGGTTCATGGTCTTTTGTGTCAACAGCTAGTAAAGATTATATAAGCATGAAGGAGTTTTGTCCAAAGACCTTTAAGCTCTTTACACACATCGAGTGTCATAGCACTCCCATGTTTTGGGTAAATATCACTTTAAAGTTCAAAAGAATAAAATACAACTTAATTAGTTATTCATGATGGTCAGCTGATCAGTTATAGATAAATAAAACGAACCTTCAAATAACTGTTCTTTTAACAAAAGAAGTTCATAAAATACCTGGAACATCAGTTGGCAGTTAGCAAATCCTATCATTCTTGTTAATATGTCCTATATCCTTTTTATTTTTTCTTTCCAGTTTCTAGTGAAACTGCCCTGATTCTGATCCTTGTTTTTTCACTTCTGGACTCTCTCGTATGTGGTAGCTTAATAACAGGCCTTCGTCTTCCAGACCTGGCTTTTCCCTGCACCCCGATCTGCCCACCCCCAATACCCCAATGCTTTAGTGCATCCTGTACACAACTGTTAGGTTAGTCTTTCAAAATAATATTTTCTTCATAGAATTCTAGTTATAATTTTTTCTGTCCTCTCCCCTCTCTTCTCCCCTCCCCTCCCTTACCAAAACCTTTCTTTTCCTCTTCATACGCCTTTGTGCAGTCTAATCTCTGCTCCTATTCCTGACATTTAGCTTTCTAGCCTACCTGCCTTTATCTTTTTATTTAGTTTGCCTGTTTTCTGATCAGTCTTCTAGCGAATCATTCCTGATTCCCAGTTCAGTTTGCTCCTTTTTCAAGACACCTGCAGTTCAGGTGTCTGTGTTTCTCAGTTGTCACATGTTGGTAATTGCCTGGGGTGTGTAATTTTTTAAAATGTTTTTGATTATCTTAACTTCTTCATCTTACTGATGAAGAAATGGACCCAGAATGGATGGATTTGCCTTTGTCATTGTCACAGTGCTTTATTCATCACAGACGTTCAGTAAATGCTGGTTGACAGAGTGAGGGTTTGTGTGTGTGTATGTGTGTCCAGGCTGAGGAAAGGGAAACTTAGTTTAGTTTTGGTTTCCAGTTTTTAAACATAATTTTTTTTCTGTCACTCATGTTTTCTTTCTCTTGTATGTCCCTTTTTCTCTCTATTTTTGTTAGTGTTTAATCATCATTGTTCTCATTCCTTTTATGACCAAAGCCACATGGTATTTAAGGGGAAGCGAGGTTGGTGGAGTCTAGCACAGTCCAGTGTAAATCCTTCCCTGTACCTTTTAAACCTATTTTGTCGTGCCCTGATTTCTGAAGGCTCCTTGGTGAATACCAGCCATATCATCTCAGAAATCTTTACTGTCTTTGAAGGGGAACTGTACAAGGTAATTAAGATTATACTGTGTTCCAAGAATTTAAATTACAAGGTAAGGTTAAGGGTGTTGGTCTATTTCTCACTGGAGAAGCCACCTCCCAAGTGATCTATTTGAAGTTTTGAAATTTCTGAAAATGCAGTGAACCCATGGAATAAGTTGCCAGGAAGGCAGCATAAAAAAAAGAGACTAAGTGAAGCAGTTACCACCATTTATTGAACGCCCATTGTGAGTAGAACCTTGTTGAAGAGATGTTAATAAAATTAGAGTGTATTAAAGGTAAACCGCGATGAAGCGATTGACCAGGAAATGGAAGGGAACCAAATATTCTAATAAAATGTCAGTAGGGATTTTGTATGTGTGTGTTACCCTTAACGTCTTTCACATGTGTCCATAGCTGTGGTTGATTTGCTTCAGGAATTAACAGATATAGACACCCTCCATGAGAGTGAAGAGGGAGCAGAAGTACTCATTGATGCTCTGGTAAGTTGCACGTCCCTCTGGGGTTTTGCAGGTGTCTAAGGTGTTGGCATCATTCCCACCGTTGTCTCTGCAAGTGGCACGCACGGGGTGGGTGTGAGGGAGAGCTCTGTGGCAAGGCTAGACTGAATAAGGAGAGTAAGAAAAGAAAACGTAACGTGGGGTACTTTTTTATTTGGAACTGTCTTAGGGAAGGGGTTGTACAGGTCTAGCACTTGTATGTATCTGCTGCAGGCAGGCTTTTTCTCATTCTTCTACACTTTATTTAATCCTCACCATATCCTCTCAGAAGGGTATTATTGTTACTATTCCCATTTATAGCTGTGAGGCTGAGGCTTAGAGAGGCAAAACAACTTGCCATGGTCACACGGCTGGGATCTGAACCGTGTTCTCTTTGAGTCCGTGTTCCTGCTCCCCTGCCCCCAGTGTGTTGCTAAAAATGTGGTGTTGACATTTTTACAAAGAACATTCACAGAAAAGAATTTCTTTTCTCCTCTGGGCTTTATAATCCCAAGCGCTAGTGAGGACAGGTATCATTATTGCTTATTTTATAGGTAGGGAATCGCAGAGTGTTAAAAACGAGAACAAACCTTCTAGCTCATCCAGGCCCGAGTAGCAGCCCTGACTGTGGAAGGCAGGGTCAGGTAATTTCTGCGCACCTCTTTGTGGAGCCTAGGCAAAGCCTCAGAATCTTCCTTCGCTATTATTCCAGGCAGCAGCCAATCAAAAGGAGTTTATATGTGAGGTGAACCGATGGCAGTCTCATAAACTCACTTGACACGTGAGAAAACCCAGATGCAGAAGTGAAACCTTCGCCTTCTTGCTTAGCCAGTCCGTGTAACAGCTGGGATGGGATCCTGCCTGTTCTGATGCCCACCGCCGTCCTGTTTCCCTGTTTCCCACCACACCAGTCATCAGAGAGGGTTCTAAGATTGAAAAGGCACCACAGCTGGCAGGAGTGAGCCTAGTGCAACCTCTTATGCTGATACCTCCTGTGGCACTCTGTCCACCAACCAAGCTATTTCTCTCCTTAAGTTTCTGTTGTTTTTCCTTTCTTTCTGTTGTCTCCTGCTGTCTGGGCTTTACTCTCTGTTTAAAAATGTTACTCAGTTCTGGTTTTGATGCCGTTTGCGGAATTTGTCAAAGATCACTGCAGCCACTTGTATTAGAAGCATCTGGGATGCTCGTTAGGCTACTTTCTGCCCCGACCCAAGACCTGCTGAATCAGAATGTCTGGGACCAGGACCCCAGATGATTCTGAGACCCCATTGCTACACTGCCCACTGCCTCCTCACCCTTTCTTTCTCAACATCTTGACACGAGACTTTCCCATGTGCCATGCCTGCAGCTGACATTTGATGTGAACGAAGGGGTTGTGAACCCACGGGATATGAAGAACTGTCTCTTATAGAGAGCAAGGCTGGAGTCCAACAGGGCTATTTGTGACTGAGTATGATGGAAATGTCTATGGCTATTTTTCTTTTAAGCTCCTTCCTGGAGCGAACTGCCGCTTTTGTAGAATTCAGGACCTTTATTTTTCCGTTGAGCCACTGTGCAGAAAGAAAAGGATGATGTTGGAGTGTCCTTTTGTTTGGAGGGGCATCTGACGGAAGGCTGTGGCACTTGATCCTTCTCCATGTCCCCACAGTGTCATTTGTGTAGTCTTACCTTCCAGAGGTTAATTACACTGGCCCTGAATGAGCCTTCCTGCCTGGTCCCTGGGCTGATTTTAATTATCATCCTTTGCCTGTGTGAATAGAGGAGAGGAGAGAGGAACAGCTAGCCTGGCTGCTGCCTGCAAAACGTACCCAGAAACAGCAGTTCACACAGAAGCCCCCTTTGTGTTTTCTGTGTTGCCAAGCCCACCAACAAAAGCTGGATCTTGCAGATTTTATTGTTTGTTTGGAAAGAAACAGTTCATCCTCAGTCTGGGGAGCCATTAGGTAGCTGCTCTACAGGATTTTCTGTTTGTTTTGTTTAGTTTCTTTTTTATTATTTTAAGATTTTTGACTCTTAGAGCTTTATCCTAGTCGTGCTGGTGTGAATCACAGACAATTGAATGTTTCTAGACTCCCGTATATTATTTGCTTGTCTACAGCCAGTCAGGAGCCATCAGTAAATATCAGAGAGCAGAACTGGTAGGTGGTCTTCCTTTTTTTTTTTTCTACCCTTATGCTGCTGCATTCAGGAAGAAGTTTGATAAGTGTTCTCATATTATAAGGGTTGAGTTGTCTTCGTAGTTTTAATTTGGGGCCAGTATCGGAGACCTGGAATTGCATGAGCAGAGGCTAGAGGGCATGTAGCAGGACTTATTGTGATGTGCAGTTTGCAGTTATTGCCTTGGTCTTTTTCCCAGTTGGAAGTCCTAAGCAATAGAATAGCACATTTGTGGGGAGAGAGTGCTGTCCTGGCATTCTCAGGGATCTTTGGGGTTTTAAATTTGGTTTACATCCACTGCTATTCTTACGCGAAAGGTGAATATTTGTGCTTTGTAACAAGTTGATCTGGTAGCCTAGAAAACAGACTCTTTTTTGAAGAGTGGTCAACACCAGAGTATATTGCTTTGATGATAATTCTCGGGCATGCCTCTCTGAAGAAGGCTTTGGACTCCTTGAGAGTCATAATTAGATTATAGCCATTTCCTACTTACTAGTCTCAAAACTTACCATGTACTTGGCAGTCTCTTGCCTTTGCTCACATGTGCCTTCAGCTTGGCAAGCTTTGCTTTTCCTGGGCTAACTGAAATACTCTTATTCATCCTTTAAAGCCTCACTTAAATCTTAAGCCTCTTTAAAAAGCTTCAGTAGAATTTAGTTTCCCCCAGCACTTTTTACATCCTGGTACTTGTCATGTTGGCTTATAGACATCTGTTTGTGAGTTTGTCTTTCCTGAGATGTGATCCCCATCAGGGGAGTAGCCAGAGTGGTGGCTTTGTCACTTACCAGCTGTGTGTCCTTGGGAAAGTTACCTAACTTCTCCATATTCAGTTCCTTTTTCTGTGAAATGTGGATAACAGTAGTGCCTATTGCACAGAAAGGAAGTGAGGAATAAGTGAGATATTTAGTAGGTCTTAAGAACAGTGTCTGGCACAGAGTAAACAATAAATGATGGTTATTAATCTTCATTAAGTATTATGTCTGGGACATGTTAATACTTAGTAAATGTCAAGTTAAAATGATATGTATCATATGCCACTTAGTGAAATGTTTGTGAATGTTTGTTGAGTTCAACAAACATTTTTTTTTTCATTTCAACAAATGTTCAAAAAATGTTTTGAATAAATACTCAAAAAAACATTTGAAGGGTGTGGGTCTAAATGAGACATAGGAGGATAGATATTTAGCTAGAAAAAGAAAGGAAAAAAAGAACAAAATAAGTAATGATGTTAATGCAAGGCAGAGTATTAAGAATGCCTGTGAGAGATGCAAGCTTCTGTGGAAATGAGGAGGAGGGGGCGATCCCTTCTGATGATGGAGAAGCACCAGGAGGGGCTGCAGAGCTGCAGGTAGTGTCCATAGCTTCTGTAGGAAGGCTTCCACATGCGGGTGCGTGGAGCTGTCACCACCAGAGGAGGTGGACATGTGGCTGGGAGCACCATTTGCTGTAAAGAGTTTCACAAAAGTGGCTTTGATGTGGTGAGCCAGGAGATTGCCCTGTACTCATTCTTTCCTCCGTTAACCCTACTTAAATGTTAGACTTTGAAGCCTCATGTTGTTTTGGCTTGGGCTAGTGGGCAATGCATTTGTGCTGCTCAGGTGAGGCCGCGGTTGGCAGGTTTTCGGTTGCTCTAAGGATATTTATTATGTAAATTTCTGGACTCATCCCTTTTATCCCTTCCCATTTCTGTTAACATCTTCATTTTCATCTGTATTTGTTTCCAAGCAAAATTCATTTGTTCATTCATTTACTAAATGTTTATTGAATGCTTGGTGTGTTCTAGATTCTGGGAACTGGGTATACAGCAATGAACAAGACTGAGAAAGTCTGTTTTTGTGGATCTTATATTTTAGTGTAGGGAGAAACTGAATAAGTAAACAAGAAAACAGTGACTCTCCATTACATAGAGAATTAACATAGAGTGATGTCCTGTAGAGCAGCTGGAGAATCACATTAGATTAGATAGTGAGTAAAGGCCTGAGTTCTGGATGACAAAAAGAAACCAGCCATTTAGCATGACCAAGGACAAGGTATGAGCTTGACATACTTGAGGAACGGAAAAAAGGCTGGTACTGTTAGCGTGCAGCTGGGGTGAAGGGAGAGCGCCTGGTCGAGGCCAGACCACGCTGGGCTCTGTAGGCCTTGTAGTAAGTTCAGGTGGAATTGCCAGTGTTAGAGAGAGTAATTGGGGATCACAAGCAAGGGAGTAGTAAAGTAGCCTGACCTAACATTTTAGAAAGACCACTCTTGGGAGCTGTGTGGATAATGGATTGTGGAGGGATCAGGGGGGCAAGAGTGGAAGCTAAAATATATTCTTAGCTAGGTTGTGGCAAGACTAGTTTTACATCGTGACCATATTACTATATGTATTTTCAAAACTTACTGTTTGGTCAAGAATCAGCGTGTGTTGGGGAAGAGGGCCAGGGAGAAAGGGGTTATTATTGTTTTTTTATGTATGAAATTTCCAGAAGTCATAGTAGGTAGAAAAACTCCAGTCAAACTCTTGAGAAAGCTTGTTGGCAGATTGTCCAAGATAGAAAAAGAATCCTTCAAACCCTCTCATCTCTCCTTATTTGGCTGTTTTTTTGTTTCCTTCTCTTCTCTTCTATCTAACCTCTCTGGTCAAGTGGAAAAGTATGCCTGATCATGCCCTTGAACTTTGTCTCAGTAGGACCTAGTGGAGTATTGTTTGGGAAACCTGCTAATAAGCAGAAATAACCAATGGCTTATCAGGCTTCAGGCAGCCATGATTTCTAGGGCCAGGGTTACTCTGGCTGATGCTTTAATCCCTAAGCAATATTTGTTTCTAGTTTTAGGACTTAGTTACAGATCTAAGAAATGGGCATGAAGGTGGTAGGCTCAAGGGGTTAGAGGGACAGAACGCTAATTTGTACTTCTTACTAGATGATATCCAGAGCTATGCATGATATAAACATTTTTCCAAGCATTTTCTCAGCTGGATGTATTTTGACTGTTTTGACCCTCCTGCAGTCAGATAAAATTACATTTAACCAAGCTAAACATAAAGTTTCACACTTTGCAAGCTTGAAAGGGCTGTTAGAAGTTAGATTTTTGTAGCAAGAAAAAAGATTTCCTTCAGCCAGATACCCATTACCAATAACCATTCAGTTCTGAGGTTTGAATGTGTTGATTCCTGCCACTGTCCCCACCATTTTCCAGACAGCAGACATGGGTAACATAAGTAAGAATCAAGGAAGGGGGTGGGGGTGGATAATGCAGATAAAGCAGCAATAAGCAATTGAAACTGGTGAAGCAGTTTGCAGAACTGACAAGCAGAGTGATACCCAGCGGAGTTGCAGTGTCTTCTGCTTTAGGATTCGGGCAGATTACAAGTCAATCAGGGTGATTTAGGGAAAAACAAACTGTGACATGGTTCATGTTTTTCCCCCAGATGTTGTTCTGTTTTCTCTCACATACCCAAATCGTCCAATTAATTAAGGAAAACATTGCAGTGGATTTCCTTGGTGAAGCTTTTTGCTCTCTGTGAGATCTGAGAGCATAATTGTATATCTCCTTGATATAAGAGGGGGAAACAGCTCTTTCTTGTATTTGTAGGAGCTCTCCGTTCTGGCATCAGTATCCCCTCAAATACGCAGCTAATATCTCGTTGTTTCTCAAACCGGGGCATGAAGGAAAGGCTCGATAAACCTGTTTCATTTGTGATTCACGTATCACAAAGTAGTCAGTAATTTCAGTTTATCCCCCATCCAGATGCTTCCCTTAAGTCACACTCAGAAGGAGTAGAGGCCTTATTTCGAGACGTGTCTCTCTTGCCATTGTTCCAGCCTCAGGCTGAGTTTGAATTGTGTCTGTAGAGTGCCTTAAATGCAAGTGTTCAGGAAGTGTCAGTTGAATATGAGATCATTTCCTTCTCCCTCCTTTCTTTTGTCTCCTTTCTTCCCCCTACATCGAAGTGATAGGGTATGATGGGAAAAAATAGTCTCAGAGTTGGTCACTTCTGCTGCAAGCCTTGTGACTTTGGCCAAGCTAATTAACCAGTCTGGACCTTTGTTTTCTCAATTGTAAAAGCTGTGAGGATTGCATGAGAATAAATGGAGCAATAGACATAAAAATATGATTACGGTACACTAAGTGTTTTGTCAGTTGATTTAAATTTAGCAAAACTACTGTATGTCTGCTATGTATAGTATTGCATTTGACTTTGATGAGCATACCAAGATGAATGAGGCTGCAGTACCTGCCTTCAAAGAATTTGTGTTTTTCTTAGCCTACGGGAGGTATTAACAATGAATAATCAACTATCACAAGAAGTAAAGGGCTAGATTCAAATTCTCTACTTAACTTTTGAATCAGACCCCAACGTAAGGCATGCCACATAATTTCATTTAATCTTTACAACTTATTCCTATTTCCTAAGAGAAGAGACTGAGACAGTGAGAGACAGGTTATAAATATGGATATGTAGCGGATCTTATCTTCCAATATAGGTTTACTTATTGGCTATGACTTAGGAATGTGTTACCAGATAGATAATCACTTCTTTATTATTAGGTGTTTCATTACTTATTTCCTTGGTGTACCTCGGGGTTCCCCAAAGGCAGTCTCTGCAAGGGCACACGTTGTGCCAGAAGGTTTGTAAAGTGGTATAAGCCTTATTTCATTTTAGAAGGTTGCTTGGTTTTGCATCTGCTGCCACTTCTTAGAAGCTGTGTGGTCTTGACTCCATCATTAATCTCTTGAATATCATCTATATGAAGTGGTTACTTAAAGTTTTCTGTGTTATGTGAATCAAATTAAATAAGAGAAATATAATTACTTTCTTATGCATTAAATTAATACAAACATAAGGCATTTTATTATATTAATATCCTTTTCAAGAAGGAATCAGAAGTTCATCAGAAGTAATAGTTTCATAAAAGCTTAGTGTGAAAAGTTAAGAATGTTTTGAGTTTAACCCTAAATTTTGAGGGCAGTGTAAAGTATGGCAAGTAAACTTCCCAATTAAACATCTTAGTGTTGTGGTCTACAAATGTACTTTGACTCAAATGAACTGTTGACTTAAGATGACATTTTTCTAAGGTGTTTAAATACCACATAAAAGTCAAAAGAGCACAGGACTTGATTTCGGAAGACCTAGGTTCAGGTGCTAGCATGTCACTCAATAACTTTGTAACCTTGAATTTTCTTTGTTTCCTTAAGCTTCAGTCTAAAATTAGGGCTAATGATGCCTGCTCTTTCCTTGCCTTGGGGTCACTTCAAGGCTCAAAAGAGATGATGGGATGAGAGATATGGCAGATAATTACTTGGTTCATTCAGAGAATGGGGGCGTTTGGGGGACTGTTTTGTGACGTGTATCCCTTTTGCTTCCCTGTTGCTCAAGGTGGATGGGCAAGTGGTAGCACTGCTAGTGCAGAATCTGGAGCGCTTGGATGAGTCTGTGAAGGAAGAGGCGGATGGCGTCCACAACACCCTGGGTAAGGGGGAGGGTGGCCAGCATTCCCTGAGTTTCTCTGTGTTTGTTTTGGGGTTTGGAGCTCATTTCCTTCCTCCTTCATAATAGAGTCAACAGCAGGAGAGTGTTCTTCTTCTCTGCTCCCAAACTGCCTTTTCAGAAATGCAGACCCTTGTGTAAATTTCATATAACTGCTGCTTTGGTTTGGCTTGCAGGTAATAAAAGAAATCCACTAAGTAGGTAACCTTCCTGATAAAAACTGCTTCCCTTAGCAGGCCTTTGCGTCCAAAAGTTAGGATGAAGTCTGTGTAGGATGAATTCTGTTTTTCTTTTTTCTTTTCTTTTTTGCTTTGCAAAGTGTGTATTTTACAATTTTTGAATCTCCTCTGATGGTTTTTTTTCCCACATCTCTTCAAACTTTTGAACAACCGTGTACACGCACACCTCATTTTATTATGCTTTATTGCACTTTGCAGGTATTACATTTACAAATCAAAGGTTCGTGGCAACCCTGCATTGTCAGATGATGGTTAGCATTATTTAACAGTACATTGTTTTTAAACTAAGATATGTACATTTCTAAAGACATATGCGATTGCACACTTCATAGACTACAGTAGAGTGTAAACATAACTTTTATATGTGCTGGGAAACCAAAAAATTCATGTGACTCACTTTATGTGATACTCACTTTATTGCAGTGGTCTGGAACCAAATCTGTAATATCTCCAAGGTATGCCTGTACCTTTACAGGACATTTTATTTGAAAAAGAGTTAGTGTTTCTCTCTCATGTGTACTTTGCCATCTAAACTGTGAGTTGGAATATTGCTGTTAACTTGGCTGCTACTTTATCATATGTTCATTTAAGTGGATTCCTCTGCAGTATTTCCCCTCCTCCACCTTCTCCTCCAGTCTCCCCAGTCTTTCCCCCTGCAAAGTTGCTGAACCAATAGCCTATTTAAAATTGTGCTTTTGTGTAGTCCTCTTTATCACCGGTTGCTGTCTTATAAAACCAGAGGTGACATATCTGTAAGCAGAGTTTGAGAAGTGAACAAGACCCAGCAGAAGCAGAAATTTTGATGAGATTAGATTTTCCTCTCAGCTCCTTTGTGCCTACCACAGATTTCTCTTGTAGTTTTATACTCTCTACTGTGAAGATTACCATAAAGAAGGAGGAAGACATAGCACCTAGGGAGTAAGAGAAGAGGGAACACAACAATCTGTAACTTGGGGGTTGGCTCTAGTCTAGAGCCAGAATTTGGCATTACCATCCGTTAGCCTAATGCTAGATTTTGCTGAATAGAAAGCTTATCAAAAGTCTTAACTGTTAATAAAAAGAGCCTGGTGTTATGGGAAAAGCACTGACCTGGCAGTCTCTGGAGATCTGTCTGGTCTCAGCTTTTTCTTTATTAAGCACCTGGTGTTTATGTTAGGCACTATGCTAAGCACTGGGTAGATTAAAGATGAATTAGGCATAGTTCTACTGTTTTAAGAGGCAGAGTGATGGGAAAGTCTCGAACAGAAAGGTAAGATAGTACAGGATGATAAATGGTATAATAGCGTCAGTGGGAGGACCGTGGAAGTGAAGAGGAGTGGTCTCCAAATTGCTGGATATTGGAGCAGGTAGCTGATTGGGGTTGAATATGAAGACAGGTGCATCTTGATGGAGAAATGTGAGGTGGACCCTTGGGCTGGGCAGTATCATTTGCAAAAGCTATGAATGAGCAAGAGCTTTAGGGAAAGACTAGAAATGTACTGTGGCAGCATGAGGTAGGAGTGGTGGATGGTGGGAGATGGGGCTGGTGGAATACGTTTATCCAAATTATGGAAGACTTTGTTAACCATGGCAAGATGTTTAGATTTTATCCTAGTGGACATCAGGAAGCTATCTAAAGTGTAAGCAGAAGAATAAACTAAAGACATAAGAGATTAAAATGAATGAGCTGATTTCTTGAGAAAATGTGAGAAAGTAATTTAAGGTATTGTAATGATCTTCATCACTCAGGGGTCTCAATGCTACTCTGCCCCCACAACTTTGTATCCACTCCCTGAGGGACCACCTGGTCATTCTTTACCTTGCCATTGGCAAGGCTGATGTGGGTGAAAGAATGAGGAAGAAGATGGGAGGTACAGTGGTTTCTTCAGTCCTTTCTCTTCAAAACGCAGAGCCAGTGTGTTCTGGGCATTGTGCTTAGAGAACACAGAACTCTGTCTGCTTTGTGATAGTAACATAGCCTGGGATATGGAGCAGAAGGGGCGCTGAAGGAAATGAAGGCATTGGATGCATTAGAATGGGACAACAGATTTTTTTTAATATCTCGTTTTTTAGTATCATAATCGTATAATCATTTTTTGCCTCCTTATTTTTAATTTTTAAAATTGAACAATAATTTGGTTGTTGACCAATTATGTTTGCTTCTGAGTACCTGAGACCTCTGGCCTTTCCCCTGTATACACATTATTTTGTTCATTTTGAAAGATCATGCTTGCCTTTCTTGCAGAGTCCAGAGAAAAAAAAACTGAAAACAGGAAAGAAAGAGGCTTCAGATTCTTCCCCCTATTTTTCCTTAAGGCTTCTGCCTGCCCGCATCTCTTTAGTTACAGGTCTAGGGGACTGTAGTACAAATGAGACTAAGAGGGTCTTCATAGGCAGATACACTTTTGTGTGTTCGGCTATAGTGCCGTTTCCTATTAACACAGAAAATCTTTCACTTACTCCTTGAGTGAATTCCATCACATTCAGATATGAGTTTTACTTGTAACACAACTTGAAGGAAAAAAAATAGCATCTCCTTGGTTAATCTAAAAATGACAACAGCATCTAGCTGGGAGGATACAGGGAAGTGGGAAGAGGAATAAAATGCCTGTGGTGGGACTGAAGCTTGTTGCAGATGGAAACAAAGTTGCCCTCTCAAATTACCGGTGTCTGTCTCTCTTCAGCTATTGTGGAAAACATGGCTGAGTTCCGGCCTGAGATGTGTACAGAGGCTGCCCAGCAGGGTCTTCTCCAGTGGCTGCTGAAGAGGCTGAAGGTAAGTTTGGCCATGGGTGACCACACCTCAAACCTCCTCTTGCTCTGGGAATGGCTCATGCTGGGTCATTGGCACAGATTGTTACTCCTGGGCTTTATGATCTGGTTTGGGAGTCTTTTGGTACCTCTTGCCTCTTTTTTTTTTTTTTTTTTTGCTTCTCCTCTTTTGTTTGTTTTTAAAATAGCCTTTAGTACCCTTGAAAATAATAGAAACATGTTGTCAGTAGAAATTCATGTGGTACAGAAGGTATAAAACTGAAAAT